GTTCGTGTGCCATCAGAGGATAAAACATGGAAAAGTCTCTTTCATCAGGTGCCTCTTTGCGGCTGCAGCACGAACATCGCAGAGCGTAAAACTGATGATCTCCGCCTCCTGTGGCAGCATCACAAATCTTGTCCACCAATCGACAGCCCAATGGCCTCCAGTTTGCTGCTGTCTTACCCGGGGGCGCAGACGCGGCCGTCGGTGGTGCAGATGCAGATGCAGGCGTTGACGGAGGTAGATCTCAAGTAAGCATCCTGCCCAGGTGACGGGTTGCAAAGGGTTATCATTGAACAGGCCACTGGCCAACAACGGGCGTCGCGGAAACGGACCGGGCATTTGAAGCAGAAGCAAGTCCATAGGCAGGCAACATTTCGTCAAGCCGCAATTGCTACGTCCCCCTTGCTAGCCTTTCCCACATCTCCTTGCGGTCGTTCCGGCGTTGTCTTAAGTTTATCAGCTAAACCACTATTTGCGAATATGAATAGCTTCGCTTTCAGGGTTTCAGTATCCAGTATGTGGATTCATAGCGGCATGGCAACCTATAATCCAAGGGTGATGGTGTTTTCTCCTCATACCACGTGCGACTGATTGTTGTCTTGGTTAATTCTATAGTGGCTTTCCCTGCTTGCGCTCGATGAATTGCATGCTTGTTTCCTCGATTAGTGTTGCAATGAGTTAGGAGGGTTGCAAGTGTAAGTTAGCTGCGCAGATACAGCGGCTTTGTCACAATTACATCGACATGGGCTATGGATATGGGCATACCTAGTGACGGAGAGTGCATGATCAATATTATGGTGCACCCAGTGACTACTCCTGCTGCTGTGATGGGATGTTCGCATATTTTCTATATGTTTCGTGGGCCATGTTATTACTGCTCACCGCTGCCTCTTCTTTTCACACGGGCTGACCTCATCTCTTCTGCGCGAATCATCAACTCCACGTTCAACTGGGGCAATCAAGACTTTTACTTGGGTGAGTGTCTCGATTTTACAATAGAAATGAGCTGATGCTGGTGCTGCTTCCCATCCCACCCCAAGATTTTAGCTGCAATACCAGTCACCATCATCTTATGTCATGTTACCCGTTTGGTGACCCGAGTGTTTACACAAGCCTACCTGGCCGAAATAGATACGTAACCATGACCAATAACACCACTGATTCAATGCTTGAGCATCCAAGATTCAACAGTTGCGAAGTCACATTTCATGCACCTACTTCAACTGCCGTATTTTTGCCAGTGATTCATCTTTAAGACTCTTCTGAGAGGATCGAGCTAGAAGTCGGGAATAGAGGAATACGAAGCTACATACCACAGTTACCTCCAAGGTACATTGAGTAACTGTTTGTTTGAAGTCAGTGAACTGGCACTTTCTTACATCCATTTATTAGTTATATATATAGGTAGTGACTTTATCGTGTGTGTCCAGTAGATAACGTCTATCTCACAGGGATGACGAGGGACGGATGAAATCTCTGCAAAGAACTACAGGATTTCGAAGCTGGTGAAACAGTGCGAAGCCAAAGTGCTCAGCATCTGGTTTCCCTGCCACTTGGCTGCTGGAAGTTGAGCGAGACCTCGTTGTCTTGTTCCTAAAGACCTCCCTTTCCCCGAGACTCACACTCTCACAAATCTGATAAAACCCTTGAGAAACTAAGGGCTTGTACGCTGCATGGTGATTCCCTACCATCTCTCAGCACGTTCACTGATCTGACCACTGCTTCGACTGAGGTCGGTGAAGTTTGTAAACATCTATTATCATTTATTGGCGTAATTATTGAGACTACATATGCATTAGCTACAGGCTAGTGCTGATACTTCCTAAGTTGTATATCAAATATGGCGTTGTGTTTGATGCGTTGCTTTGATCTATCAGATATTGACAGGGTTTACACAGAGCCAATTGCCCATGAGTAGGTACCTAAGTAACTCTCGAGTGGTCCTAGATTATAGCCTATAACTAAGTAGGTACCTAGGTATTGTAATGAACAGTATGTGTTTTTTTTTTTTTTTGTTTTTGGGGGGGGGGAGGCGGTTTATAAAAAAGAAGAAAAAAATCAGTGGTACACATCACTGGGTACGGAGTAAATGCAAATCAATAGATGTCAAACTAATAGCGGATGCGAAAGCCCGTCCGTTCGCGGCCATGGGGTACCGAGTGCGGGGCAACGTCAATTCACAAGAATGGGACGGAAATCTACTTGGTATGCTTCCACTGTCAATCAGACTCCTGACCTCTCAAACCGGACGCTTCAGTGCCGCTTCAGAGGACTGAACTAGTCCCAGAACTCCGAACTAGTGATGCCGCCTCTCTCTTTTTGATAGCTTCCATTGTTGATGATATGAAGGATTAATTCTGTTAGGCCTTTATCAACCCAAGGTAAGGGGCTAGTCATCCCAATGTCAAAGAACCGGCCTTTAACTACAGTGTAGATAGTCGTGAATGCTGACACCCGAACATCGCTTACCCACCTTACCTGTATAAAGACGTTTTTGACTGGTTGTAACCTTCCAGCTCAGCCCAGTAGGTAGGCCAAGGTGCATCACGGTAAAGGTACATTGAGTTTGTAGTTTGTACCCAGGTAGAAACCATGGATCGCTGCACAACTGCCTGGACCCAATGCAGTGATTTGGTGGCGCCAACTCACACGGGGCTCTGACTAATACGTTTACGACTTCTCCGATTCTAGAATTCCCACGATCATCAATCTGACCGGGCAATAAACCTCTTTGCTCAAGTATCTCAAATCATTGCAGCAAGCTACTATACCTACTAAGTATATGGCACTAATGTGGTGTGTGTTAATTGCCTCTCACTGATCAAATTCCTGTAAATGACAAAAGGGCATACTCCGTACAACCTAATGCCTACCTGAGTCGGGTCGGCATTATACACAACTGGGGCACCTCCGATCCCCAACGGTTCATGATACAGGAGCACAGCCACGACAGTCCTTTCTACGAGCAACAGTTTTATTCTGGCGATTCCGCGTCCAACCTCATATACTTCATAGGTAGTTCTTGGGGTCCAAGTGACTGACGCCCGACACTACTTCTCACAGGCGGCCAGTATGGCTGCCTTCAATGCCAATCTTGCTGGCGCAACAGAGCGTTCTTTCTCTTCGTCACTTTCGCCGGACCGAGTTGTCGCCAGCTCAGAGGATGACAATGCTGCGGCCTCCACCCTCGATTCCGATTTTTACAAAAGTCTCACCGATAAGAGGACGACGCGCGGTACGCATTTCAGACGTGACTCCTTTGCCGTGTTGACGCTCACGGGACTGATTAATGCTTTAGATGGAAACCCTCCCAAGAAGCGAGGGCCCAAGCCCAATAGCAAGCCTGCCTTGACCAGGCGGCAAGAGTTGAATCGTCAGGCACAAAGGTAATGTTGCGCGAGCTTGACGAATGCCTGTATCTAACATGTGACCTTTGTCAGAACACATCGCGAAAGAAAGGAGCTATACATCAAGGCACTGGAAGATGAAGTTCTTCGCCTTAAAGAGGTCTTCAGCAATGTTTCATTGGATAGGGAGAGATTGGCCGATGAGAACAAACGGCTGCGAGACACTTTGGCACAGGCTGGGCTTCAACATAGCAGCCCGCATGTAGCAGGCAGCGCGACGAGTCGTGGTCCCGACTCAGCCAATACAAGCTCTCCGCCCTTGACCTCGCGATCGACAGCGCCATCGGTTGGCTCACCAATGAACCTACCTGCGACCGTCAATCAAGGTTCCACGACAGGTCAACCGCACGGAATGCCTCAGCCGCTTTATCGTGGAAACCCTGAGCTGGAACAGGCGGGCATTGACTTCGTTTTAACGTACGATAACTCCTACTCGAACAATCCCCAGTGATCCCTCTGTGTGATATGACGCGAGTTGCATTGCGCCATGGGTGAGCTTTGGCAGGACATGTTGATGGTTAGATCAGCTAACAGACTGCGGGTACATATAGTCTCGAGAGGCCGTGCATGACGCATATTCAGTTCATGGTTGAGAGAGCATCTGAGCCTGAAGGCGAACCTTGTGGGCATGCACTTATGGCATCGTGCCCTCCAGATCCGGCTCCAGAAACAAGACCAGGTTTGCCCTTTGGGAAGACCCATATTCCGTTGGATGGCGATACGAACCAGAAGACATGGGAAGTTCCAAAGGCAGACCTTGCCACTTTATTGGATCTTAGTAAGAGCATCGACCTCGATGGTGAGGTAACTCCCATCATGTCATGGGGTATGCTCATGTCACACCCAAGGGCAAATGAGTTGGAGGCGGTTGACTTCCGAAAGCTGAGCGAAGAGCTCGTTCGAAAAGTGAGATGTTATGGGTAAGTTTTCTGCAATGTCACGCCAGCATGTACTAACTTGTCAAGCTTTGGTGCTGTAATGGAGGAATTTGAGGTGCGAGATGCTATCGATAACGTGTTCAGTGGTAAGGACACGATGATGGGTGAATAGGAGTTTGTTTTTGTTTTTGTTTTTAGTAAGGGAACGGCAGTTGTTGTTTGGGAATTTTTATTTGCTGTTTCGGCGGCGTCGTAATTATGAGCATATCTCCATAATCTCCCCTTACCTATTCTGATTGTGATAATCTGTTGGAATCGCACATGTCCCGATCTCTCCTGTGGTCCTCTTATTTGTGAATAATAAGAGGAGCATACTACCGTCCAGGGAGCGCAACATCGTAAGTCAACTTGGATCTACAACCGTTCAAAATGATCTGTTTCACCCTATTGTGAAGTCTATGTTTACCCTATGCCTGTTAAACGTGGCTGAGTGCCGGGGCTGAGGCACACAATCAGCACCGCGGGGCTTGAGTGTTTTTTTCAAGCCCCACTCCACCCCACCACAAATTCGTCGTGGATGTCCAAATTCTAGCATCGCTTGTGAACCGAAAGATTGATTGACGCATCCCCCGCTTCCGAAGCCAACACCGAGCTTCTTTGATTTCGTCTATCGCGCATCCGAAAGCGCAAGAAAATCATCGATACCCTTCTTCCCAAAATGGCGGACTCTCTCGACTACATCAAGATCTGCGAAAGCTGCCCCGCCGGTGACGGTTGGGGTCCTGCAGTCACCACAGAGACTACCCTCAACGGCGTGCCATATGCGCCTTTCTCCAAGGGTGATAAGCTGGGACGTATGGCCGACTGGACTGCCGAGGGCAAGGATAGAGAGCGAGGTGGCCGAGCACAGTACAACAGGAATTTCCGAGGTAGGTCGTATCGTGTTGTCGTGTTGTCGTGTTGTTCTGTCCTCTGTCGAGATCACACTCGTCTCGAATGATCTCCTGGCTGACCGCAATCATTCCTGTAGACCAACAAGTCTATGGCTCTAGCCACGCCATCACCTTTAATGCCCCTCCCGCCGAGGACGAATCAACATTCTCAGTCGTTAGTAACGTCCGAGACTCGACAAAGTCAAGATACGGCCGTGGGGCCGTCTTCACTCGTGGCCGTGGCCAACGTGGAGGTCAGGCCGGTACCCGGGGCGGACGAACTCAGCTTCAGAGAGGCGGCGCCGGTGCTGCTGGTCGACAGGGCTACGACAGAGGTGGCCGATCCAATGCTGGTCGTGGCGGTCGCCGCTTTGGCTGGAAGGATTATGACAAGCCTGCTCGTAACCGAGACGCCAGTATCAATGTCAAGGCCGAGTGGAAGCTTCTTGAGGAGATCGATTTCAACCGCTTGGCCAAGCTGAATCTCGACACCGACGAGGGCGAGGATATTGATGACTACGGTTTCCTCTACCACTATGACCGCTCTTACGACAAGCAGCCTGTCAAGGGTGCTGAGAAGAAGCTCACACCAATCGACCGTGCTGCCTACAACGTTACCACCTCATCCGATCCCGTAATCCAAGAGCTTGCCGAGAAGGACGAGGCAACTATCTTCGCCACGGATAGCATTTTGTCCATGCTCATGTGCTCTCCTCGATCCGTTTACCCCTGGGACATTGTCATCTCTCGACAGGGTAACAAGATCTTCTTGGACAAGCGTGATAATGCCGCTCTTGATATGGTGACAGTCAATGAGAATGCCGCCGATGCTCCTCTTGATGCTGCTGATGGTAGTAAGGACACCATCAACCAACCAAATGCCCTTGCCGAGGAGGCCACCTACATCAACCATAACTTCACTAATCAGGTCGTCATCGAGAGCGAGTCGTCGAAGGTCACTATGGCTCACGGCAACCCCTTCTACAATTCCTCTGAGGATACCGACCCGCCTGCCAGCAAGGCCTACAAGTACCGACGCTTCGACCTTTCCCTCAACGAGGAGGAGCCTGTCCACCTTGTCGTCCGAACAGAGGTCGATGCCGTTCAAAGGAACGCCATCAGTGGCGAGGACCAGCACGTCAGCATCCATGCTCTCAACGAGTTTGACAGCAAAGCTCAAGGCAGCGGCGGCGCTCTTGACTGGCGAAGCAAGCTTGTTACCCAGCGTGGTGCTGTTGTTGCGACCGAGATGAAGAACAACAGTTGCAAGCTCGCCCGCTGGACAGTGCAGAGCATCCTCGCCAGCGCAGACGTGATGAAGCTTGGGTAAGTTTGCTAATTTACTGATATTCGAATGCTTTGCTAATCGATCTGCAGTTTTGTTTCCCGTCTTACACCGCGCTCCAATGACAAGCACGTCGTATTGGGCGTTATCGGCTGGAAGCCCCGCGATTTCGCTAACCAGATGAACCTCTCGCTCTCCAACGGTTGGGGTATTGTTCGCACTATCGCCGATATGTGTCTCAGCAGCGAGAGCCAAGATGCCAAGTTCGTCCTCGTCAAAGACCCGAACAAGTCTATCCTCCGTCTGTACGAGGTGCCTGCTGGTAGCTTCGACGATGAGGAGGAGGAGGAGGAGGAGGAGGAGATTGAGGAGCCCCAGGGCGAGCAGGAGCAGTAGATCAAAGGGAATTAGACATGGCCATGTCACGTTGTGCATATTCGGTAGTTTCATGACGATGGAGAGGGCCACGGGATAAAAGGCATGAGATTTGCAGGGAGTCCCATGCTCTAATGATTTGAAGCAGTGGATGCAATCTCAACCAGGTTCTGGAAGGCCATTTTTTGTATTTGACTGTGGTAGCAGTCTGGAACGAAAAGAACACGTGATTTTACTCGACATTTTGCTGTATCTTTGTTGGGTTTGTGACTTTGAATGAGATTTGTTCCTTGACGTGAAGAACTCACAATCGATCGACTTGCATGTTAACAGTGCCCAACATAAATACTGCGACGGCGGTTACTATATGTTGCAATACCTTATTTCAATATTTCCCTCCCTCCCTCCTTGGGCCTCATTTCACAGCAAAAATTTGAAATCGCCGCTGATTGGTGGTCAGGATAGCAGAAATATGTCTGCAAGAAATGTCTACCAAGACGCAAGCATTACCAGATATGTCGGGACCTCTGTTGAATCATCGAACAAAGAGAGACCACTAGTAATTGGAAGTGGCTCAGAGATCCAAGCGAACAAAAGTACGACTGTCAGCACAGATCGTCGGTGGCCCGTCCTCGGTAAGGACGGCACGGGTAACCCGAGAGCAGTGTTAAGCTGTGGTATACTTGACGCGCCTTGCGAGGCAGCGGCTTCGTCATGATGGTGGCCATCTATGGAGTACAATCGATGAGAGACTGGCTGGTTTAAGTTACCGGGGGATAGCGGGTTGTGGCTGAAGAAGTTTATGTGTTGAGTGGAGTGGCTTGAAGGTATGATGTGTATGTATTAGGGAAGCTAACTAGGGCCTAGTAGGCAGGCTATATAGAAAGATATAGGGGCCTAAGGCATATATATCTTAATACCACCCTATAGCCTGAACTACGGGTTAAGTAAAGCTATCTTATTATATATTATAGCTCCCTATAGCCTTCTTTTTTAGTATTTTACTTTATAACCTTATTTCTTTATATAATCTATTCCCTTTCTAATTAATTTTTAACTAGCTTTTTTATATTAAGTTAATATAAGAATTCTTTATAATTTTATATTCCTAGTAGCTTTATTAGTCTATTAGCTACTATTTCCTATATTTTAATATACTAAAGGTTAAAATAACCTATCT